CCACCCCAGGCCCGCCCCCCATCTCCCATGGGACTGGGTCCCCCCCTTGCCCTCCACCCAGTGACCCAGGCAATTGGCTCACCCCCCCCATGGACCCAGATGTCGGTGTGGGGGGGCTCACCCTGGTCGCTGACGCGGCGCTTGGGGTTGGCGGAGACACTGCGCTGGACCTTGTGTGCTGGCGAGGGGCCTGAGCTGTTGGCCAGGTCGGGGGCCGCCCGCGGCTTCAGCGCCAGGCTCTCCTCCAGCTGGGGACACGAAGTGGGGGGACACACACAGGTGGGGACATGGAGGAGGTCACACACATGTTGGTATGGGGCACGGGGGGACACGCCAAGCAGGGATGGAGACAGGGACTGGACGCGCTGGTGTGGGGGGACGTGCAGGGACAGGGACGCGCTGGCACGGGGCACAGCTGGGGACGGGGACGTGCTGGCACAGGGCACAGCTGGGGACGGGGACGCGCCGGCACGGGGACATGCTGGCACGAGGCACAGCTGGGTGGGGGGAACGTGATGGCACGGGAATGAGCTGGCACGGGGTCAGGGTATAGCTGGGGGGGAGGACGCTGTCCCCTCTGTCCCTCCCTGTGCCACCCCCAGTGTCCCACCCCATCCCCTTCTTGTCTCCATGTCATCCCCTCCATGTTCCCTGTCATACGTGTGTCCCAGTGACCCTCCTCATGTCCCCCCCATTGTCCCCATGTGTCCTCCTCAAGTCCCCATGTCCCCTCATACCCTCCACGTTCCCTCAAACCCATATCCTGTGACCCTCACCTCCTCTCGGTGTCCCCCATGTCCCCATGTCCGTGTTCCTCATCGTACCCATGTCCCCCACACCCCTCATGTCCCCTCATTGTCCCCATGTCACCTCACATCCTCCACGCTCCATCACGTGTCCGTGTCTCCTCATGTCCCCATGTCACCTCATTGTCCCCAAGTCCCCTGTCATACCCATGTCCCCATGACCCTCTCCATGTCCCGTCATACCCATGACACCCATCCTCCATCACACCTGTCCCCCTTGTCTCAAGTCCCCATGTCCCCTCATACCCTCAATGTCCTGTCACTCATGTCCCCATGACCCCCCCAATGTCCCCTCCTTGTCCCCACATTCCTCCTTGTACCCCCTTGCTGCCATGTCCCGTCAATATCCTCCATACTCCATCACATGTCTATGTCTCCTCATGTTCTCTCATCCCCCCCATGTCCCCTGTCATACCTGTCCCCTCGTTGTCCCCCTCATCATACTCCCTGTCCCACCTGTGTCACCTCACCCCTCCCCGTTGTCCCCTTGTCGCCTACACCCCTGCGGTGTCCCCGATATCCCCCAGTGTCACCCAATGTCCCCTCACCTCGGAGCTCTTGTGGTCCAGCAGCAGGTAGGTCGCCATCACCTCGTTGTACTTTTGCCCTACCAGTGACTCCTGGATCTCCTCCCGCGTGTACCCCATGGACACCATCAGCTCTGGGAGGGGGGGACAGGCCTCAGTGGAGGAACCCAGGCATCTGGGGGGGCCCCTCGAGGACCCTCTTACCCCCTCAAAAGGGGACCCAGGTGTCTAGAGGGGGGTCCTACCTGTCCTCCGAGGGTCCTTGTAGTCTGGCACAGGCTCCATGTAGGGCTTCAGCTCATCGTCCTCGTGGCCCACGTTCATCCAGCGGTCCTTCATGATTTGCTGGGGGGGGCGGGGGGGGGACGATGACACCAAAGGGGGTCTTGAGCAGGGCAGAGGGGGTCTGGGGGTCCCAGGGGGCTTCCTGGGGTCACCTCTGGGGGGCAGGGACATTTTGGAGGGGAGAAGGAGGCTCCAGGGGTCCCTGATGCTGCGCTGGGCGGGGGTGACTGGGGGGCTGAGGGTGATGCTAGGGGTGACTGGGATCCTGGGTGGGCTCCTGGGGGCACCCAGGATCATGCCGAGGGTCTTGCAGTGCTCTTGGGGGTGTCCAGGATCACACTGAGGAGTCCTGGAGGTACCCAGGAAGATGTTAAGAGTGCTCGTGTGGTCCTGGGCGTTCCCAGGACCATGCTGGTAGTTCCAGGGGTGCCCAGGACCACACTGGAGGTGCTCAAGGGGTGCCTGAGGTGTTCAGGACCACATTGGGGGTCCCTGGGCGGTCCCATGGGTGTCCAGGACCATGCTGGGGGGTCTTGGGGGATCCCAGAACCATGCTGGGTGTCCTGGATTGCTCTCAAGGGTGTCCCGTACCACACTGGGGGGGTCCCAGGGGTGCCCAGGACCCCACTGGGGGTGCTCCTGGGGTTCCCTCACCCCTCACCTCCAAGGTGCCCCTCTTGGTAGGATTAAGGATGAGAAACTTCTTCAGCAGGTTCTCACAGTCGGTGGACATGTAGAAGGGGATCCGGTATTTGCCCCGCAGCACCCGCTCCCGCAACTCCTGAGGTGATAAACACCCATCGGCACACCGCAACCCCCTCAGGGACCCCCAGTGACCCCCCAAAACAGGGTGGTACCTTAAGATTTTGCCCATCGAAGGGCAAGGAACCGCTGACCAGGGTGTAGAGGATGACACCCAAGCTCCAGACGTCAACTTCAGGGCCATCGTATTTCTTCCCCTGGAAGAGTTCGGGGGCAGCGTAGGGGGGGGACCCACAAAACGTGTCCAGTTTGTTCCCGAAGGTGAATTCGTTGCTGAAGCCGAAATCGGCGATTTTGATGTTCATGTCGGCGTCCAGTAGTAGGTTTTCCGCCTGTCCCAGGGGAGGGAGAGTGCCCCAAGGGGCTTTAGGGGCATCTGGGTGCTCTGCTGGGGGGGTTTAGGGGTATGCGGGTGCAGCCAGGGGGGTTCTGCAAGTATCTGGTGCTGCCCAGGGGGTCCCAGGGGTGTCCAGGTGCTGCCCCTGGGGGTCCTGGCACTTCCCACAGGGTTCAGGAGTGTCTGGGTGCTGCCCAGGGGGTCCCAGGCATATCCAGGTGCTGCCCCTGAGGGTCCTGGCACCTCCCAGGGCATTCAGGGGTGTCTGGGTGCTGCTCTGGGGGTCCTGGGAGTGTCTGGGTGCTGCCCTGGGGGACACTGGCACCTCCCAGGAGGTCCCTGGGGCATCTAGGTGCTGCCCTGAGGATTTAGGACTATGTGGGTACAACCCTGGGGGGTCTCAGGGGTGTCCAGGTGCTGCCCTCAGGAGCCTGGGTGCTGCCCTGGAGGTCCTGGCACCTCCCAGGGGTTCAGGGGTGCCTGGGTGCTGTGCTGGGGGGTCCCAGGGATATCCAGGTGCTGCCCTGGGGTCAAAAGGAGGGGGGGGGACAGGGACCCAGGGAGCACCTTGGGCTGCTGGTGGGGGTCCCAGGGGTGTCAAGGGGTCCAAGGGGGAGGTCCTCACCTTCAAGTCCCTGTGGACAATGAACTTCTGGTGGCAGTACTGCACGGCCGACACTATCTGCAGGAGAGGGGGGTGTCAGGGGGGCCCCCCCACCCCGGGAGGGGCACAGGGGCATCCCCCAGCCCCCTGGGGACATAGGGGTGTCCCCAAACCCCCTTGGGGGTGTCACACTGGCAACCCCCGACCTGTCGAAACTTCGCCCGGGCCTCCTTCTCCTTCATGCGCCCGTGGGCCACCAGGTAGTCGAAAACCTCACCTGGAGGTGGGGGGGGACACGACAACAGAAGGCAGGGGTGAGAGGCAGCCCTGCCCGCTCCCTGCCTGCTGTCACCCCACCTTGCCTGCTGCTCACCCCCACTGGCATACTCCATGACGAGGTAAAGCGTCTTCTCCGTCTCGATCACCTCGAAAAGCTTCACTGCAAAGGGGGCAAAGCGGGGCTGGAGGGGGGCGGGCCAGGGTGGGGGCCACCCCCTGGGATCCCCCCAGGGGTGGGGGACCCCCCCCAAGGGTAGGGATGGGGGACACAGGAGTCCCAGCATGCAGCTGGGGGGTCTTTGGGGGGGGGGCCTCACCTATGTTGGGGTGATTCAGGACCTTCATTATTCGCACTTCCCGGAAGAGCTGTGAGGAATGGGGGTGTGGGTGGGTTTTGGGGAAGAGGGAATGAGATGCTGCAATCCCCCACGTGTCCCCCCGTAAACTGCTGCCCCCCGTCCCAGAGATCCCAAACCCCTGCCCTCACCTTCTGCAGGCTGGAGGAGTTGAGCTGCGTCTTGTCAATGATTTTCACGGCGACCTGGGAGGGATGAGAGGGGGTCAGGGAATGTCCCCCAAGACTGTCCCCACACTGTGGTGGCACTTGTGAGGTGAGGGGCAAGGGGACAGGGGTGTCCCTGCACCACAGTGGCACTCATGAGGTGAGGACCAGGAACCTGTCCCCGTGCTGCAGTGGCACTCCTGGGGCAAGGACCAGGAGCCTGTCACTACACTGTGGTGGCATTTGTGGTGGGAGGACCAGGAGCCCGTCCCGACACCATGGTGGCACTAACAAGATGAGGACCAAGAGCTTCAGATCATCCCCGTACTGTGGTGGCACTTGCTGGGCAAGGACAAGGAGCCTGTCCCCATGGTGGCACTCACAGGGCAAGGACCAGGACTGAGAACTGTCCCCGCACAGTGGTGGCACTCATAGGACAAGGACCATGAGCCCGTCCCCATGCCATGGTGGCACTCACGGGGTGAGGACCAGGACCCAGAGCTGTCCCCATGCCGTGGTGGCAGTCACCGCTGAGGACCGGGAGCCCATCCCCATGCCACACTGGCACTCACAGGATGAGGACCGGGAACTTGTCCCCACACTGCGGTGGCACTCACGGGACAAGGACTGAGAGCCCAGAACCATCCCCGCACAGTGGTGGCACTCACAGGACAAAAACCATGAGCCTGTCCCTGCAGTGGCACTCACAAGAAGAGGACTGGGAGCCCAGAGCTGTCCTCACACCACGGTGGCACTCTGAGGATGGGGACCAAGAGCCCATCCCCACGGTGGCACCCACGGGGTGAGGACCAGGAGCCTAGAACTGTCCCCACACCATTGTGGCACCCACAGGATGAGGACTGTCCCCATGCCATGGTGGCACTCACCTCCTTGCCGGTCAGGACATGCCGGGCCAACTTGACCTTGGCGAAGTTGCCCTTGCCGATGGTTTTCAGCAGGCGGTAGTTGCCGATGTGGGGCTGCTCGTCGGCGGAGGTGGCCGAATTCCGGCCTCGCAGCATGTTGGCCTTCCCGCCACCCTTCCCCTCCACGGGACCTGGCTGCGGGGACACAAAGGGGACAATCAGTTTGATGTCCCCGTGTGTCATGTCATCGCATGTCCTGTCCGTCCGCCCCCCGCCCAGAAGAACTCCCGGGGGGGTCTGGAGGCTCTCCGCAAAGCCGGGAGCAAAGTCCGGGAACGCCGCTGCCGTATGGCACTGTGCCGCGCCCCGGGCAGGCCGGGAACCGCCCCCGATACCTGACGCAAGCACCGTGGTTTCGGGCTGGGCTTGGGTGGGGACGGGGCCAGCACGGTGACACCCCTTCCCCGGGAGGGGACAGGGACATGGCTACCCCCTCCCTGGTCCCCTCCCAGAAATGAGGTAGCCAAATGTCATGATTTTACCCCAAAACGGGGAAACCAGACACCTGGGTTCACCCCACAGCCAAAACGGGGGGGGCCCCTGAGGTGTCCCATAAAACACCACTGCCACCAACCCCCCCCCATCCCACACCCCAAAAGTCCTCACAGGCCACCCCCCCACAAAGGTCACCCCAGCTTTAAGGACACTTTTGGGGTGTTCCCTTATGGGGAGCGGAACACCGGTGCTGGGTGCCGTCACCCCCCCCCCCCCCGCCATGCTGTCACCGCTCCGGTGACACCGGAGATAACGGATGCGCGTGAGCGGGCGGGGGAGTCGAGCCAAACTACACCCACCCTCCCCTGCTGGGACTTGGGGCCACCGCAGCCCTCCCTGAAACCTTGCTGGGGTTTTGGCGGGGGTCATACTCTTGGGGTGCTCCCCCCGTGGGAAGGAAACCACCGCCGGAAGCGAGGCGGGGGCAGTTTTCGGCATTGCTCAGCCAACGATGGCGCAACCAGGCACGAGGCACCGAACCCCCAGATTTTAGGGGAACGCAGCATTTTGGGGACTGGGGGGGGTATGGAGGGGGGCACAGATCCTCCCCCTCCCCCAAAACCCGGTGCTTTGCTGGGAGGATGATGGGGAAAAGTGAAGAAAAATGGGGGTTTTCTGCCAAAAAACTGCCGTGGCAACGGGGCGGGGAGCGTGCTTCGCCATCTGGCCGTGCTGCCGGGGAATTAATTCAGGGTTGAGGCGTGTGGTGGCACCAACACCGGATTCTCCCCCCCCTCAAAAAGCACGGGGGTCCGCAGCAGTGCCAGCAAGTGGCCAGCGTGCCCAGCATTTCTCCAGCACCTCTTATCGGTGAGGCTGGAGTGGCCAGCAAACATCCCCCGGCACTGGCAGCTCTCCTCCACACCCTCCCCCCCCCCCCCCCCCAACACAGGTCATGCCAGGAGAGCAGCAGCAGCTGCGCCGGGGCCGGTGAGGCTTTGCCGAAAGCAACGCCGGCTCCAGGCTTTGCCGGTGCAGTGCTGAAACACCAGGAGGTTGTCACCGTCCCCCTCGCCAGGACGTGGGCGGCTGCCTCGCCGCTCCCGGTTTTGGCAAAGCGGGAAAGGACTCAGCCCTTGGCATCCCCCTGCGGCTACGAAGAGCGGTGCCGGGCTTGGCACTTGTTAACCAAATTCTCGTTAATTAAACGGGCCCTGAGCTCATCTCCAAACCCCCTCCCTCACTGCCAAAGCCCCTTGTGCCTCAGTTTCCCCACCCAAACCCAGCCCCACGGCAGGGACTCACACTCGGCGACCCTAAACCGGCTCAGCTCGCGGTGGTGCCGGCGACACCGACGGCCGTGGCCGGCTCGGTGCGAGGTGGTGCCGGGCGGCCGGCGGAAGCTCGCCGAGAGTTGAACTCCGCAAGGAGTGCTGGGAACGCCAGACCGGCTCGACCGGTTGGGGCTGACGATGGCTTGGCCGGGCCGCGGGAGCTGGGGGGGGTTGCGGTGTTGCGCCGCAGTTTTGGGGAACACCTGAAGCACCGCGGGGGTGAAAACAGGGCAGAAAAGGGAAAAATCAACACTAATGGCACACATTGGGGCAGGAGGGGCCTGTCTCGCTTGCCGGCTACCATTAGAGCCAAACCGCTGGGAATCGCAACCAGAATGGCGGCGGGGATGATGTCACTGGGTCCAGGGGTGATGTCACTAGGTCCGGGGGTGATGTCACCAGATGGGTCTAAAGATCCCGGCGCGAACAGGCCGAGGTGCCAGCAGTGCCCACGCCGCCAACACCTCACCGCGCCGCCAGCACAAAACTGGTGGCAACTGGCTTCGGCATAACTGGTAACCAGTAACGGTGTAACCGGCAGCCACCGCCGTGCCGGGCCTACCTGCAGCAGGCGGGTGGTTCCCCCCCACCGAACTGCCGCCTCGGCAGCCGACAGGAGATGGTAAAACAGCTTTGGTGCGGCGGTGCTGAAATGTCAGCCAAATTTAGTTATTTTTGAAAATTTTTTTATATAAAAGCACGCCAGATCAGTCTCCATGTGATGGAGGAACTGGGGGGGGAGGCACCCCGATTTTGGCTGCTGTTTTTGGGGGGAGAGGCAGCAGCCCCCCACCTCTCCACCGCCCCCTCCCCAGATCTTCCCAGCAAGGAATAATTCTCCTCTGTCGTTACATAACGGCAGAAAAATACAGGAAAATGACCCAAAACAAGGAGGGGGTGCCTGACGCCACGGTGATGGCCAGAGAGCAGGTAGCATCGCCTTGTCCTCAGTGTTGGGGACACAGAGACAAAGCCACTTGTGCCCCCCACCCCACCCCAGGCCACATCCTGCTGGGTCCCTCCCCATCATTTGGGGGATCTCCCTCACTGCAGAAGGTGGGGAGCCCCCCAAAATATCAGCCAAAAACGGGGGTGCCATGCAGCTGGGGAAGCCAAGGTGCTCCCCAGACCCTCCCCAAACAGGCTGAGCTATAAGTGGGGTACCCACCAGCACCTGAAGCTGGGAGCACATGGGGCCCCCAAGAAGCCCCCAGACCTATAGCCCAAAATGGGGGACCCCCATTCCAGCTGCCCCCTAAAGGGATCTAGGCCTCATCCCCGCCAACCAACCAGGCTCAGGGGGTGAACCCCCACCCTCTCCATCTTGGGGGAAGGCTGGGCCCCCATCACAGGGGTGGGCACCCACATCGTTTTGGGGGGTACACACCTCACAGCCCCCCCCCAGAACCCCACGGAGGGCACCTAGCCCATGGCAACGATGCCGCCCCCACACCCCCTGGGGGGGGGGGCTGCAGCAGGGAAGGGGGTGGGCTCACGCCCCCACACCCAGTCCGCGCAGCCACCGAGACGGGGGGGGGGACGGGACACACACACGACACAATGACAATGATGACACCCCAAACCTCACACCCCCTGACAGATACTGGACCCCAGAGGGGGCCAATGTGGGGGGCTGGCAACCCCCTGCCTTCCCCCCTTCCTTTGGGGTGCAAGCCCTGGGCCCCTCACCCCTACCTTTTGGGGAGGGGGGCAACAGACACCCTGCTGCCCCTCAGGGACCCCTAAAATGGGAGCCCAGACCTCTCGGTGGGGGGAGGGCAGTCCAGGAGCACCCTAGACCATTCCTCCCAAAAACAGGTCCCATGGAGGAGTCGGATCCAGCCCCCAAGGAGGGGCCCTGGCTCAGGTCCCCCCATCCCACACGGGGGTCTGGGTGATGGGAAGCCCCAGGGTACTTCATGGGGGGGGAATGACCCCCAGGATCCCCTTGCAGAGGGGCCAGGCTGGGGGGGGCACAGAGCCCCCTTAGTCCCCCTCTTCCCCTCACAAAATGGCCCACAACCCACTCAGCCCCCCCAGTTGCCCTCACAAAACAACCCCAGGCCCCCTCAGCCCCCCTTTTCCCCTCATGGAGGGCCCTAGGACGCCTTCAGACTCTCCTTTCTTCTCACAAAATGGCCCAGGACCCCCTTTTCCCCTCGCAAAACGGCCCACGATCCACTCAGACCCCCTTTTCCCCCCTCACAAAACAGCTCGGGTCCCCCTCAGACGCCCTTTTTACCTCACAGAATTACCCAGGTCCCCCTCAGACCCCTCTTTCTCCCCTCACAAACCGACCTCAGATCCCCCCCTTTTCCCCTTCACAAAAC